GAGTGTGCAGAGAGAGCTTTGGGCTGCTCAGTGGAGGATCTGAAGGCTCTTTTCTACTGCGAGCTGTGTGACAAGCAGTACCTCAGACACCAGGAGTTTGACAACCACATCAACTCCTACGACCATGCACACAAACAGGTAGGCCTTCATGTGCTACACCGTCACTGCAGCTACACACACACATACTTTTTAACAGCACAAAAGCAGACTTTTTTTATGATCTCTTGTCATGGATTTTTTGGTTTGTCAACGGAACGCTATTTTACATTTCAATGTCAATCTGCCCATCGGGTACAGTTTTGCCGCAGGAGTGTGGCAACTGCATCATCTGTCACAAACACACACACAGAGGTGGAACCGCTTAACTCGAGGAAGATACTCCCACATAAAATGTACTTACACACACACTGTAGTGCTGCATTTGTATTTTATATTTCGATTTGAACTGGCTGATAAACTAGAATATACTTTTTTTTATCAATACAGGGCAATTTAGGTAAGTGTAGCCAACAGAATTATATAAACTATAAAGTGTATAATATCAGGCTTAAAAAAGAAAAGGAGTTACTACATAAATATACAATATACACAATATAGAGTAATAAGAACGTGTCAACCCTTATGTTTAGTTGACTTTGAATTTAGTTTTGGGGCCTCAAAGACCCAACTGCTTTAAGAGTAGTTATAATTACAAAGTCAAATATACTTCCTTTCCCCCCTTCTGACTTATATATAGACAAGTATAACATATGCAATCCCACCTTTAAACTATTATAACAAAGTCATTCTCATAGAATTAGGATAAGTTGATCAGGTTGATAAAACAATGTTAAGTATGTTTTTTAAATAATAGTCCCAGGGGACCAAATAGATCATTGCATCAGAAATATTGGTACTATGTAGTTAAACAAATAAGTAAATAATATAGTTACAATAAATAAATACGTACTGTAAATAAAATTGACTTGAGGACTAGAAATAGGTCCTCAAGTCATTTCCCAAGTGTATAATAATGGAAGATTTTAGTTTCTCTAATTTAAGATTTACAGCACTTGATTTATATGTAACTGGTACATAAGGATGCTACTACACAATTCTCTTTATTCTTCAATGTGTACTTCCTCCAAAGAGAAAAATAGATATGCTGTACCAAATAAAACATGGAGCTATTAGTCATAGCTCAAGTATGATTCTATTATTCCAGTTTAGACAAGATGAGACCAATGGACCATTAGGGAAAGGCCCGGAAGCAGGTTTGCTCCTGTGATCTCTGCTTTCACATTCATTTTCATACACAACCTCCACTCTGGACTAACAAGCTGAAGGTTCTGCTGATAGCACACTCTCCTACAGCTATCTGTTGTTCTGCCAAGCATACACTCACACACAAAAACATAAAGACATGCACTTCCCTGTGTACACACTTGTCCGCAAAACACAAGCAATCACTCAACCAAGGCATGCCACTTCCCACTTCTAAACGCCCACGTGGTGCAACATGAAATAAACATTAAACAAGACTGTTCCTTCACTGTCATTGTTCTTTGTAAATGAATCGTAGCAACTGCAGGCCAATGTTAATGCTTTGTTTTAGCCAGCGGCGGGCACATGAAACGAGCTGCATGAGGCACTGAGCTGACAGTAGCCACAGGCATTGTAGGAACACACAAACACACACACATATGGACATGCATGCACACACTGCCTACTGAGCAGACAACAGATGAAATTCAGGCTGAAGACAGCTTCCCTGCAGGAGTATTGGCTTTGGAGAATGGAAGCTGATTGCGTTTGCTCTGTCTCCTCTCCTTGTCATCGATTCAGGGATAAACATGTCTGAATGCAGTGCTTTATCAGCATTTACTGCTGATTACAGAAAATTGCTCATTACAAGAGAATTACACTTCCTTTTAAATAAAGCAATCAGTCCATTAGCTTGGCCTCGCATATGCTAAAGAATACACCATTCCTCATGCTAAGGCCCTAGTGGATACGAATCAACTCTGGCTTATCCATAGTTGCCTCAGCCTGAGCACTTCTTAACACATCTAAAGGAATATTGATCGGAGCTTTGACAGACGGATTGAGCTTTATGGCACATAGCTAGACTGGCATGTTGGGGAGCAGGAGTATTACTGCTCCCTGCTGTTGGGACATGACATCATCTTTGAAGACAAAAGTATCCGCTTTAAAGTGGGGAACGGAAATATCTCTACCCTGTGTTCTCAGAGAAAATAGTTCTGCATGCAATATTTTGTTTGGCTCTAAATATAGCTACAGGTTTGCCTGCAGTGGGACACGTTTTTAAGAGAGAACAATAACCTGGCAGATTGTGAATGCAAGAGGAAGGAAGAAGAATTCATCTTCATATATTCCATGTATTATAGACTGCTCTCTCTGTCTCTCCCAGTGATTGCCATGGACAGCTACAGTACAAGGACTATGATCTTTCCCCCTCCCCTTCGTCTTCCTCTTTCCTGGCTCCTGTCCGCAGTTGTTCATTATGTATGCCTTTCTGCTTGAACATGATTAATATTTCCCATAGCATGAGTGCGGCATCAAAGCACCTCGGAGCTCCTTATCGCACACTAACAAACACACATTAGCACCTATACTGTAAGACATGTATGTTTGACTGATGCAAACCCACATGTGCTGGTTCGTAGGCAAATACTGAATGCTGCATTCAGTGAGCTGACAGTGGGATGTTAAGCATCAACCAATAATGTAGAAAGACAGGCGATTGGGTAAGACTCAGCAGAGATTAACCTGACGACTGTCAGCTCCAGCATAAGATCTTGGTGTAAAAGAGAGTGAGTGTATAAATAAATCTGATGTCTAAGGGGCTAATCTGATGTGTGTGTGTGTTGATACACTCTGTATGGGTGGATACTAGCGTAACATAATCTAAAGTAGTGGTGTAATCCTTTTACAAATTATACTACTGAATACATTTACAAATACATCAAATAAACAACAGATCCTGATTTCATAAACAGCTGGTAAATTGCACACTCAGTTATAGCTCAAATGTGAAGCGACAGACTGTAAAACCAGACATATAGGAGGGATAGTGACACTCCATACTGCAGCTATCCTCAAATTTCTTAGTCCGTCCTCAGCCTTTCAGACACTCACAGATAAATAGAAACACACCAACACACACACACACACACACACACACACACACACACACACACACACACACACACACACACACACACACACACACACACACACACACACACACACCTGCCAAGCATGGATAAAGAAGGGATTAAAGTGTGTCAAAAAAAGAAACCGGAGAGAAGCATAAATCATTGTTTCCCTGGGAGGACTGGCACACCTATGGCTATAGACACTTAGTTTCACACTCACACATGCACACACACAGAACAATTGAGCTAATTGTTTTTATACAGTATGATGCAGGATGAAGACCAACCAGTTTGCTCAAAATAAAATCACTCACACTATGGCGTGTTTGAATTATGTGTTTTGCATTTGTACACGCACACAAAAGTATTACTAATAATAATAATACTCGGCACAGTTCTAGCAGTTTTCCAGCCCAAATCCTTGACCTTTACAGTGTCTTAGATGGGTATTTTGCAAGTAGAAAATCCTTTGTAGCAGATCAATGTATTTGGTACGCTCCAGCTAAAGAGCAGGTGTCATTGTAGTAAAAGGTCTCTCAGACCAAGCTGTGATGATTGAGGAAGGGCTGAACCTTTTTGAAATTTCAAGAGCATCATCGTCATTAAATCACTTATATGTCACTCATCTCAACCGCGTCTGTAATCTGCTTTTCACCAGTTGGGTTGTGTTTGCTCTCAAGCTGTGTGTCGGAGAAAAGATGCTTTCTTCCAGGCTGAATGGAGTTAATTGGACATGAGCTTTGGATGAGAACATCTGCAAATGCTGCTGACTGATGTGTGGTTTGAAAGACAGCTGCCTGCAGGGAGCTTCCTAAAACTAATCTCTCCCTGTCTCTTCTCTTGTGCCACTCTCATGCTCCTTGCTACTTCGTGCCCTTCACATTTTTCTGTCCCTCCCTCTATCATGCTTCATTTCCACTTCCTGCAGAGGCTGAAGGAACTGAAGCACAGGGAGTTTGCTCGAAATGTGGCCTCAAAATCATGGAAGGACCAGCGCAAGCAGGATAAGGCTCTGAGACGCCTGCACCAGCTCGCACAGCTGCAACAGGAAACCCAGCGGTGAGGGGAGGAGAGTTTATTTGTGTGTGTGAGTGTAATATGACCAGATGCAGGAGTCCAGAGGGGTTAGAGTGCATCACATCCAGTCAACGGTTCTTATATTTGATGGATGTATTCACAGGTTCACAGCACCCAGTTGTCCTAGACAGGTCCCAGGTGAAGTAAACACAACATGAAAACTCATTGTTGGCGACTCTCTGAGAGCGGATGATTTGTAGGAAGGTTAATATGAGTTTAAGAGAAAAATGAATGTTAGAAAAACAAGTGAAACAAGTTCAAAGATTAAACTTGCCTCTGGGCTCACAGCATTGGATGAAAAAAACAATACATCATGAAATCCTTATCTTGATTGCACCTATTCCTTGTGCAATTACATGTGTTTTCATATAATCAGAGGGCGATTATGTGAGAGGCATAACTATGACTTCCAATATAAAACCTCAGGTTTTGTCTTAGTTTGTTTCTTCCTTTTGTTGCTTTCCTTGTTTTTGTATTTCCTCAAAAGCATACTTATTTGTTGTTATAATTACACTTTGTTGTAATCTTCTTTCTAAGAATATATATACTGTATGATTACAAAATACCACATCCATGAACTTGAAATACTTGTACATATTTGTTAAATATTGACAAACGTTAACTATGTTATTTTGAATTCAAAACTTTGCTAATCACTGTGTACTGTACGTAATCATGTACATGACACAACTACAAATGTTAACTGACATTTGGAATGAAACTCATAACTAACTAATGATTGATTGAATAAAAATGTACTTTAAAATGTCATCAATTAAACATTTGATGGTTTTTCTGTCAAATGAATGCTAGATCAATACATTACACATTTATTATTAAAATCCAAGCTTAAGTGAAATCCAAGCTTATGTCATGTCAAGTTAAATCAATCAAGAATATCTCTCTCTTTCTGTTTCAGAGTCCCAGTGAAAACGTCTGGACTTCGAAGTACAGTCAAGACAGTGAGACATCAAGAAGACAGAGAAGTGGACCAAAGAGACCGCAGTCCTGAGGTCAAACCTGAACAATTCAGCCGCAGCCAGAGACCCCCTCCTCTGCAACCCAGGACATCCAGCCTCAGCCACCAACCAGAAGATCCATGGCGATCTCCTCCCCAGATACCACCAGTCGCTCCTCTAGCAGAGTACCCGCTAATCACACATCCAGCATCCAATACTGAGCCTCCAGCAGTGAACCCCCCCTCTCTCCTGGACTCGTGTCCCCACCTGCCTCTCCCTGTGCGGGGGACAGCGGGAGGCAGGCTCGGGGTGTCCTTCTGCTTCTCACGCAGGGGGCCCAGGCTGGAGCCTTCCGCCTCCGTCTTCTCGGACATGGAGGAGGAGGAGAGAGAGAAGAGGGAAGAAATGAAAGAAAGGATAAAGGAGATGATGGAAGATATTGACAGGGAAACTGGGGCAGCAGTGGAGGGGAAACACAGTGAGAGTGAAAAGCATGAGTCCAGGTCTGACACTGTTAGACTAAGCGACACAGGGCCAATCCCCAGAGAAGCTCCCAGGGAGGAGAAAGAGATTGAAAGAACAGACATAGTAAAAGCACACTCGACTATTTCCACAGCAATACCTGATAATCAGAGTCATGATTTACTCTTCTTGCCATCACAGACCCAGCTGGAACACATGGACCCTGAACATACAAACAGCGAGAAAGAGAAAAAGCAAGAAACAGAGGATGGGAGGGAGGAGAGTGAGTATATGTGTGTGCTGGGGAAAGATGAGTCTACCCGTCTGAGATGGCCTGTCAGTTTGCTCAAGTTCACCAACTCGCAACCACCCATCTCATACAGTTGCAATCCACTCAGTTTGAACCCACAGCAACCCGAACAACTCACAGAGAATGTGCAGGAGTCTCAACCAAATAAGTGTGCTCGCTCAGATGAATCAGATCATCGTGTGCCAGCTATTCTCACAACAGGCTCTCCTCCCTGTTTACAGAGACCGACAACACAAAAGCTGAAAGCACAAAGACATAAAGCTACGGATAATTTCAAGGCAGAGCAACATATTGACGCAGAGACAGAAGCACGCCTGTTCAAAAACATTTCTCTGTCAGAAACAAGACCAGAAAAAGGGAGATGCGCACTAAGTATGGAGAACTGTGTGAGGGAAGCTTCCCATCCATTTGACCCCTCTCATGGTGACAGCTCTTACACAAACTCCCAGAATCCTCTGGGAGGCAGATTAGGGGGTGCGAGAGGGATCAAGGAGAGAGCGATCATAGCCCTGAGCTGTAAATTAGAGTCTGTCACCCAGCCTGGCACACAGAGGATGTGCATTAGACCGTCCAGGAGCGAGTGTGGGAGTGAGACAATGTGCAAGTGTGCCAGCGTTGCACAGCCAAACGGGGGTGTCTCCGAAGTGTCACGCAGAAAGAGGAAAGCCAGCAGAAAGAAACACAAGTTAGGAAAGAGGAAGAGGGGGAAGACAGAAAAGGCTTCAAACGAGCGCCAATCAGCAAGGTGCAAAGTGAGGAGTGTTGTCTCTACAGTCTCCACTGGCAGGGAGAGGAGTGGAGAAGCTGGAGGGAGCTGGGGGAAGAAAAGGAGGCTGAGGGAGACGGGGGAGGCGAGGATGAGGAGGGTGCAGAGAGCAGGGAGCAGCTGTCTCCTGGGGAGATGTGAAGCCGAGCCAGTATCTGTCTCTGTCAGGCAGAGGAGGCCTCACAGCACTGAGTCGCAGGCAGACAGAGAGCAGGCAGAGCGCTGCAGCGTCTCCCAGCTCAGCAGACACTCAGCCCACAGACACAACAAGGGGGAGGGGGAGCGAGACGGTGATACTTTGACTTTTCCCAGGCGGTCTCACTTCTCCTTGCACCCCTTCTCACCAGGATGTAACTCAAAGCTGTTTTGGGAAAGAGGTCACCATAGCAACCCCAGGAGTTTCATTGACTGCTGTTACCCTGACAACAGCTGTGGTTGCAGCCCTGCGAGAAAGAGAAAACTCCTCCACAGGGACAGGAAATTCATTCATAGTAAGAGGAAGAGTTCGAGGCATTGTGAAGTCTGGAAAGAGACAGGGAGGGGAAGGAGAATAGGAGGGCGTTCAGGTTTTAAAGACATGGATCTGATTTCGGATACAGAACAGTGGGAGTGGATGAGGGAGAGCTATGGTGCAGGTAGTGAGGAGGGCAGGTTGAGGGATGAGTGGAGAAACAGAGCAGTGGAGTGGGATCGGGCGGCGAAGTTTAGCCCCATTCCCAGCAGCTGGGGCAGGAGAGGCAGACGTCTGAGCACAGAAGATGTAGACTGGGACATGTGCAGCATGGACAGATGGACCTGGGGCAGCAGTGACAGCTGGGAGGACAGGGGGACACAGAGGTCTAGGTCAGGCTCCAGGACAGGGGCAGACAGCAGGGACAGCCCGGGCTGTGTGTGGAGATCTGCAGGAACCCGGCGCTCCAGCCCGAGGCCCATCTCCAGCCCTGAGTGGTGGACGTGTAGGCAGACAAACAGCCCCCAGAGTGGGGTCAACACACGGGCCAGCAGAGGCCTCAGTCCACGCTCCTGCAGCCCCTGCAGCAACACCAGCATGTCCGAGCTGAGCTGGGAGTGGAGCCGGAGCAGCACCTGCTCAGGAGTCACAGTGGATGGGTTGAAAGTAAGCTCCTATAGGACATCCTCGGGAACCACAGGCCCCTCATCTGAAGCCCATCTGAAGGCAGAGAACCCCACATTAACTTCACCCAGCCTTACCTCTTGCTCCTTTTCTCATTCCTCGCCCTCCAGATCAACTTTTGCTCCCATCGTCCTGAGCACACACCATTGTGACACAAGCGCTTCTCAGACGAACGAGCCCAGTTCACAGTCTGAACTTGGCCATGAACCCTCTGCCCTTGCCCTCAACACAAGCAGGTCAGACACAACTCTTCCAGGACTTTCCACTAAGTCTCTGCCACAGAAACCAGCCAGGGTGTTGCTTCTCCCTCTCATAGGGAAACTACCTGCAATCCAGAGAAAGGCCAGGAGGAAAAAAGGCCTGCTGGAGAAAAGTCAGGAGAAAGAGGGAAAGGAGGGAGATGAGGCTAAGGGCAGGGGACTGAATCCTGGCACAGTTGTCAACAGTCAGAAATGTCCTCTGGACATGGTTGAGTCAAACCCCAGCAGCATGCCAAATCTCTGCCTCTCGCAGATTAGGACTGATGACAAGCAGACAGGTGGAGAGACAGCTCCGCCAATCAGCTTTACTGCAGAGGAGATGGACAAATATCGCCTCCTGCAAGAGCAAGCAAGAGAGCACATGCAGAAAATCCTGGAACAGACAAACGACAGCGAAGATACACACACAAAGACAAACTACACACAAACAACAAAGACAGAGAACTGTGGGACTTCTGAGGGACAATATACACCTGAACACTTGCACAACCCTTCAGCGCCTCAAACCCAGTCGCTTCACACAGACACGCTGCAAACACAAGCACAGCACAGACTCCAGGTCAGACTCCCCCCTCCACATGTGACCCCACAAGAGAACTTTACTCAACCCATGGCTCTGAGGGTCCCTAACCTCCCCCCTCTGTCCAGCCTCCATCATATTATTTTACAACACGCAGCCCTCTCCATGCCCCCATCGTCCCTCTTCATCAAGATCTCCTGCCATCCACCCTCACCGCGCTCAGCTCCCTCACCCTCTGCCACCTCTCCACCCCTCTCACGCACATCACCTTCACCTCTCTCCCTTCTCTATATCATCCCTGTTTCCCTCCATTCTGCTGTCCCATCATCCCATCGCTTTTCTCCCACAGTCCCCCACTTTCCATGCAAATCCACTCGCTCCACTCTCCCAAGTAGCGCTGCAACCGTTGAGCCCTCAGTCTTTCATGGACAGAGCGTGGCCGGTGAGGTTTCAACAGAAGGCGTTGTGATTTTTACAGAGTGGCTGCCATGTTTATTAATCTTTCTTGGCAACTCAGAGTTGTGAGAGAAAGAAGGGGAATATTTTATTTGGACAAAAGCCTGCTATTTGAAATGGGGATGTGTCAGTGATTTTACTAGAATTAACTTCAACTCCCTTTCGCATATGCCCCCACACACGTGCACGCATGAATACACAGAATCGGCCCAACTTTTGACTGTATTCAAATGAAAATGTGTTTCTCCATCTAGCCTCTCCTGTGTTTCAGCAGACATCGAGAACAGACTTTGATCCTTTACTTTTCCCATCATTCCTCATTCATGCCCAGAATAAAGGGAAAGGTGCACCTGCTATTCAAAGACAAGCTGGGCTTGTGTCATCCTCTCTTTATCCTTCTGAACCACAGACAGACCAGCTGCCTTTTGAAGTATCCTTCATGCCAGGGACAGAGGGACAAGAAAGAGTGATAATGCTCTCTCCTTATCTCCATTTCATACAGGCTATCTGAGTTCGAGTGTGACTTTCAACAAACATAAACAACATTTCAACGACCGGGGGGAATAGCACAGCCGTTTTAACCTTGGTGTATAAAGTATTTGTGTGTGTCACGGTGTGCAAGGTAATTCTGGACGGACACACATACACAGTAGAAGATACAGCTTATTTCCATATCTGACACATGTAAAGACCTGTTTTGTCTCTATAGTGTAAATATTCTGACAGTGAGTAATAACATTAGAAACAATAAAATGAAAGGTGGATTGAACCTTGCCCAGTCGTCCAATGTTTATTCCACACTCAATCACTCCAGTGATGCAACACTTTCAAACAGCTTTTCATACTTGTATGTGAAATAAGTATTATTTCCCCCACAGCATTTAACAAATCGGTTGTTGAGAGAGCAATGAAAAATGTTGATATGTTGAGCTTGGTGAAAATAAGCAGGCTTTAATGCTTTTTATTATTCTGTCTGATTCATGTTGGTCATGCAACATGTTGCAACACGCTCAACATTAAAAATGAATACTGTGTGGTTAACCATGCCTCAAAACCAGGCACCCTAAATCCTTGGAAGATTGTAGCAGTGACCCTTTAACTTTAAGCAATGTACCAGCAACCCCTTGTTTAATTGGATTGAGTTTTAGATGGAACAGGTTGTACAATTATACAATGTTTTACTTATAAAGAAGAGAGATGTGGGATAAGTAAACTAAGAAAATAACCACATTGTTTTTGTGGCAGAATTTTTTTATTTCTAATTTTCTCTACATCTTGCAAGGTTGAAAAAACACTATCCTAGTGTCAGAAGAAAAAAGTGGAAATGACATTTTGAGTCATTTATTTAATATAAAAGTTTACAAATTAATGTTTGAATTTTTTTTATCCATCACTTCTCAGATGTAGATGGATCAGTCTGAAAATGTGTTTGCTATGTTAGTCACGCTGATGCTGCCCTTTAAAAAGTACCATATTATGTTAGTGTGCTATTAGTAATTATTATGCCAAACAGATAAATCATTTTAGAATGTTCACATTTTAATGTAATGTCCTGTAGTTTGATCTTTAGTTCACTACACTGGGGATGCCAAAAGCTCAAAGCCAAGAACAATCCACACAGTTTCATGACTCTTAATCTGCACCAGAAACTTTTGAAGTGCATGCTCTACTTGGATAACATGCATGTGAGGTAAGAAATAAAATCTCTTTTGCATCATTAATGAAACACAGAAGTTCATTCTTGCATGTCTTTCCAAAGGTTATGGTGGTTAGTAACTGTTGCTATGCATCATGCCTGGTGGTTGGTGAAGGCGCGGATGTATTAAAGCTGCTTGCCAAACAGTTGATCACTGCAGCGGCCGGCACTCGGGGAGAGGAACACAGAAGAGAACAGAGCGGCATCCAGATGGTCTAGGGACTTGGACTACCCAGAGTGCTTTGAGAGATTGGATTGATTTGCCCTCCATGGTATCAGTGAACACAGCCCAGCCCACAGGGGGGGCAACAGCCAGCAGTGACATAAATATAGAGACAAAAACAAGAAAATGCACACTCCCATTCTTGAGGTGTTGGCTAGAAATACAAGTCAACCCCTGCAGAGATTCAGTAATTAGAACACAATTCCTCTCCTCCTTGTGACCCCTGAGCTTGCTCTTGTATGTATCTGTGTGTGTACACATGTGCAAGTTTGTGAGAAACAGAGACAGAGAATGCCTATCTCTCTCCACAGGACAGGAGATCAAACAGACTGTGTGAAATATAGAGCAGCAATAATTAGCAGCTGTTACAGCATCAAACCTCTCTATCTCTCCCTCTCTCTGACACTCACTCACACCAAAACTGCTCATCTCTTATCTTGTCATTTAGAGATGTTCAACAACTTCTCAGTCCTCCAATTCTGATAACTGTGGAGATTATACAAAATCAACCCACTCCATCTTGTCTTTCCATTTCATAAGAATTAAAATCACTCATAAAGTCTAAAGGGCAAAATGCATGAGAACAGTCATATAACAGAAAGCGTAAAAGCAATTACAGAACTTGAACAAAATTCACATGAATGTTATTATAAAAGCAGATGGACCAATGCATATCAAGTGCTTGGGACCTTCACTGTATTAAAAAGCAAAAAAGTCACAAAAGCACACAGGAGTTATTCACACAGGGGTCATGTGGAAATTAGTAATCACAATATCACTATACTTTCTGTCATTGACTGATTAAATCATTAACTAAGCCCTGAGATTCGCCCCCTGGTGTGTTCATATTTGTGCTATTGTGTGTGTGTGCATGTACAGTATGTGCTATGTGTGTAAGCACGCAGGAGTGTAGGTTGATTTATGATCGAGAAGAAGCAGTTTCCTCAGTCAATCGCTCTTGTGAATTAATGAGGTATAAAACCTAAAGCTGGCACTCAGTCAAATACACCAGCAGTCAAAGAGCTCACTGCTGGAGCAGGAACACTTCTATTGGCACCACATTTGATTGTTAGATTGTGGGTATAGATTGCATAGAGCAAAAAAGAGCCCCTCACGGCTACTGAAGCGATCCATCGACCCAAATTGCAATTCTGTATAAACGAGACACTTCCCATCTCTTGCTCTCTCTTTCATTTTTGTGTGGTCTCGCCTCTTACCCTTCTCTTTGATTCAACCAGGTCAGTGGGGCTGCGTTTAGCTCCCCCGGCTGTTCTCTCACTGTGCAGAAGAAAAGACACCATTACACTTCGTCCTCTCAATCCCACTCATTCAGAGTCTACATACGTTTCTTTCATATGTTTGAATGCTGCACAGTGGCAACATTCAAAGCACAATCTGCTTTGCAATATTATTATTACATATGAAAACCCTTTCGACACCTTTCCTCTCGCAGTGACATTCATTAAAAGTTTTCTTGAGTCGTGGCAGAGGGTGACATACAGTACCAGGCTGTTCCACTCCAATTTACATCTTTTTACTGAATCTCTGTGCCTCTGAAGAATAGTATAGCAGGGATAATATTTCAACTCTTCTACCGAGCCAACAAATGACATTCAAAAGTTACAAGCAAAAATAAAGTTCAAAGGGATTGAGCCTCTCAATAAAAGAGTGCACTTAAAACTGAACTAAAAAAATCTAGTTTCCATCAGTTGAATAGTCAGGCATCCTCATACTCATCCCATTTGATCATGTGGTATTTCACATTTCTGATTCTACTTGTGAAGTCTCTGGTTAATGCATCACTTTGTTGACTTTGTGAGCTTCTAAACTCCCAAAGAGGTACACTTCAAAGAGTAATCTGTCACCACTGATGCATCAAGAGACATCGCAGTAGCCGTCGGTGCCATATAGGGAAAGCTAAAATGGCTTCAGGATGTTTAGCACTTTAACATCAAAACTATATTACTCTGTATAATTCAGAGCCAGAAAGAAAGCAGCTTTATCCTATAAAACAACGTCTATTGGTGTTGCATTGTATTCATTTACTGTATGCTTTGCTCCCCTGTTGAGAAAAGACCTGTTTGTGTAGGATTTGTAAGTAGCAACTGTATGTGAATTCCCTTTTACGATGGATTTAGGGATTAGAGAAGGTAGTGGGCTCTGTGATACTCTTAAACTTGGCAGTCTCCCCAAGGACATGACACTGTCAGCACATTGCTTACAGTCATCTGGGCAAACACACACACACACACACACACACACACACACACACACACACACACACACACACACACACACACACACACACACACACACACACACAGGTGTAATGGGGTATAATTTAGGAGGCGTAATAGTGAGATGCGATGCTCGGCTGTAAAACAGCATGGCTAATTCCCCGGTTGTGTTATCTCTGAGAGACAGATGTTCCCACCAAAGATTATCCACACACAAAACAAAAATAACACACATACAAACTGTGTGCTTGTAGAAGGATGTCTGACCACATCCAATCCTAAAACAAAAGAAGCAGCAGGACAATTTAAAAGACCTTATTGACCAGAAAAACGATCAATGATGACGAAGACTTTTCTGAGAGTTAATTATGAGATGTAATGAGTTTCTGGGGGGGGAAATGGTCCCTGTGCCCCCCTTGCTTGTATTACCACGACCTTCATTTTGCTCTTAACTACATATGTGTAACATTGTATGATTGCATCTTTCCAACCCAGTCTCATGGCATTTCGTGTTCACCAACACGATTTTTAATCTATTGATTCGTGTTCACCAACACGATTTTCCCCTTTTTTTCGTGTTGCACAGCACGATTTTAAAAGCAATGTATTTCTACTGGTAATGTGTTTCGTGCCTGCAGCACGTCTTTTTCTCCGGTCGGGTCGTGGAAGATCGGAAGCTGTGTGGTTCATAAAAACATGTTCTTACTCAATATCAAGCCACAATTATTGCTTTTATTTTAAATCGTATAATTTCTGACTTTTGTTTCCTTTTCTCTGAGGAAAATAAATGGGGCTCAGAGCCTCAGAACACTGATCTGTATTTTTTAAATCTTTTTTTCCTTCTAATTTGTTATTCTTTTCAAAATAACACACTGTTATTTACTCACCAATAACACACAATTATCCTTGCTTTTATTTATTGGTTTAATTCCATAATCTCGGGCTTTGTTGGCGTCCTTCAGGAACTGAATTTCAAAATAAAAACCGTGGACAGCTCCAAGATCCTCACTATGG